TTGCAGCCCGAATGTATATGAATTCTCTATTTTTTCTTGGACTCCGTTCTCAACATTCTAGCTTCCCTCAGCTCTTTTACTCAAATAGACAGTCTAAAGACGACCGAACTGTTGCACGAAAATGCGTGGTTAATGGTTTTAAAAACTGGACTGTGAAGCAACCAAAGCGAAGAAAACTTTTCAAAATAGACTTTCGGATAAACATGCTTTACTTGGCTTTCAGTCATAAAAAGAACACAACTGCATAAATCCAATGGAATCATGACAAATATAAGCAACAGCTTGTTAAAGCTTAGCTTTTTTACTCTGATCCTTAAGCGACCACAGAATGTGGCGCTGACCAGGAAAATTAGAGTGCATAAAGAACCACCATTTTGAAAAAGGCCATCCAATAAGATCTATCTAAATTGTTTTTTTTTCTGACGTGATTAATCCAGCACTTTCCTTTTCGGATCTGATGTTTGAGAAGCTATTCTCGGAGTTCCGGGAAACGTTTGTACGGAAAATGCACCAATAGGCAACTAAGTTTGATCACCCGTGCGATGATCGGATTCCGTCTTGCCGTCTTGCTGTTGGATTTCATTCGCCTAATCTTCCAAACTATGCATGACAGAAGCTGCGACTTCCTGCAGTCCGAACTGGTGCTCCCACGTGGTCTGCTTCGCCTTTCATGCGATTACCGTGGTACATTCTGTTGAATCGAAAAGGAGCGTAGCACTCTTTCGTAAACAATTGCTACTGCCACTTTTAACTCTGAGCACCAAAACAACCATGAATAGCATTAAGTGGAAAAGCTAAGCTCCGATACTAAAAAGCAATGAAGGGGTGGGTCTTGAAGGTAATATTTGTTTCAGGGTTCTGGCTAAAAGCTAAACCCGCCATGTTCCCCATAATTAAGGTCTACGGATGACAGAATAATACCAGGTCTCGAGATTATCTCGACCGACTTTTCCTCGTGGTTTCCAACGTTGACCTTTGTCTGTAGTGGATGAGTCAGCGATCGAAAAGGACCTTCAACCATCGGGTTTATGAATGAACTAAACAATCCATATCTAACCATAGTAACCCTCGGAATTAGTTATTTCACTAAATGGTAATCTTGGAACTAATCCAATCCTGCATTATTAAAACAAAACGTGATGAAGATAAATGAATACTGCCGCTACTGCAATAGTTAATCGAGTGGAATAGAAACCTGCTGAATTCGTAAGTAGTTGCCTAATGTGCTCCTCAGAATCGCTCATGGATAGTCTCTCATCCACAGCCAACATCATGTCATGTTTTCTTTGACGTATTCTGTTTTATTATTCGGTGGGATTGTATTTTCCGGAAAACTCGATGAGTCGTTTGATCATTTGATGTTGAAATAATCGAACCATCAGAGTTCTGTGCGGATCTTTTGGAAGGATATACTGTTCTTCCTTCACCGGAAAATTACCAGCTCTACGTTCGTGCCTAGCGCTTGTGCTTGTTTCCATTTTGTCTTGGCTTCTGTAGGCTTTACACGAACTGATAATTCACCGTATTGTGGAATTCGTTTGACTCCTTGTGACCGTGTTTCTTTCCTCTTCGATATTGCACATCAGCAGCTAGTCATGCATTCTCTGCTAGGGTCAATGTACTATGGCACTGTTTAACCTCGGGATGTAGAATGAGATAGCGTTCATTCCCGCCTGTGCTTATTGTTGCTGCTATTGCTACTACTTCTGATGCGGGTTGTGCTTGCGCGGTTCGCTTCGCATGCACACACACCACGTGACTGTACTTGACCGATAGGCAGGTCAGCGTTCGTAAGTCCATTTACTTAAGTGCGCACGCGCACACCCGTGCGTGCACATTCTCTGTTGCCTTGTCCCGTTTTCGGTTCATCCATGGTTCTCGCCATCAAATCGATCAGTTTGACAATGCCAAAAGTTTACCTACACATACACGTGTATGTGTGCGCGCACACAAGCGCATGTTTGTTATATGCTTCTATGACTGTGTACTTCACATCATCATCATTGTGCGGGGGCACTTGCCGACCTCCTCTGTCATTTTACACAACAAGTCATTTACTTTGAGGCAAGGAAGAATTCAAAGCTTGCATTTATTTTGCTTTATTGTATTCTCATTGCTCCCGATTACCTCCGTTTTCATTCCTTTTATTCATTTCATACCTTTCCCAATGAAGGTTTTCAATCACCTTCCGTCTACGTCTCCTATTCCGGACCACCGGTATCACAAACCGGTCCGGGTTTGCAAGTGCCTCCCTATTCCATCGGAATGTCCAATCCTGGCCTTTCAGTCCCCATGCCCACTATGGTCAACAACACTAATAGCTCAAACATGGCACCCATTGGCGCATCTTATACCTCGGGGCCTAACCCAGCGATTGTCGCCACTTCAGGACGCTCCACCGGTCCAAGTCCTGGTTCTGGTCCTATTCCTCCTGGGATGCAACTGGCTCCTGGTCCTTATCCATCCTCACAAACCACCAACCGTCTGGCCCCTACGGGTTACAACATGACGCAGTCATACCCTTCATCCGTTCCCGGATCAAGCCCTTTCCGAACACAACCTGGTGGACTAATGCCACGCGCTGCCGGTGATACGGCTTCTCCGACCCCACAGATGCACAAAGATCCTTCAGGTCCTGGCTGCATGGGCTCACAGCCGCCGCCGCCTTGTTCCTCTGCTGGACCTAGCGGTACTGGGTCTCCCAACCCCAACACTAACGCTTCAAATAAAGGTCCTCGGGGCGTCAATGTTTCCAATCCGAACTCTGGTATGTTCAGTCCATCCATGCTTCCCTCGGGTCCCTGTTTGACCCCTAGCAATGCACTCACTCCACCAATAGGAACCGGTCCCGGTGGTATGATCATCGGTGGGCCATCTCAATCAATGGTCAATTCCATGAACGGATGTCTCACACTCGGGCAAGATGGAGAAATGAAGGTAATTAATTTAATTATGCATACACCTATGGTAATCACCGATTTATCTTACGCAATTATCGTTTGATTAAACTGTTTTTGGTCATTCGTTTGATTGTATGGAATCAAGGGAGTTTTTTGTTTTGCTGCTCATCGCGCCTGATTGAACTTCCTATTACTGAATCCTTTACTTTAAACTGAATTGGCCGTTGCGCGGGCTTTGTGTTTAAATGGGTTTTTGTTCAGAGAGCTGCTTTTTGAATATGTCAATGAACCAAACTTACAAATGGCCTTGAGGTTTTTATAATAGGAAGTACCAAAACAATCGTGGGAGTCCATGCAGTTGCCCTCTTTTTCGGGATAAAAAGGCGAAGCCGTGAGACGATGCTCTAAATCCCTAATAGTATTTGTGGTTCAAAGTAAGTTTGCGCGTTTCAGTTGCGTATCACTATTGATCTTGATTTTTATATGGTTTGTGTAGCGTCCATGACTTATTACGGTTGATGGTATCAGAGAGAACGATACAAGTTGCGCTTATCTTGTTATGGCGCGTTTACCACGTGTCTGTCGTCGCAGCCAACCATCCATTAATTTCCGATCATTGTCACAACTTCAACTTTTACACTAGGTACGCTGTGGATATTCGCCTAATTAAATAATGTTTTTACTTCCTCTTTCGTTTATTAAGTGTACGAATGTACAGTTAACTGTCATGAATCGGGCCGTGGCGGTACAAAGGATGCTCGAAGATATACAGAAATAGGGAAGATGAGCGTCAGTAACGGGGTTCAAACTCAGGGTCTCCTGATGGCTATTTTTATGACTTTGACCATTGCCTCGAGGGTTTCCGTAAGGAAAACTGTCATGCTTTTAGTTAAACTATTAACTATTTATCCGTTTTCTATGCGACTAAACCGCATTTCTCTAGATAGTGCGCTCAACCGAATCTTCCCTAGAATATCAGACGAAATACTCAATGGTTTACATTTAAACTCGTAATCGATGGACAATTCAGCTTTATCAATGGATCTTCGTGATTAAAAAAATTCGATTCTGGTTTTTATACTCTATTTTTGAGGTTTATCTCTTTGTTTCACTTATCGTGGAATTCTGCTTACTGGTTTAAAGTGAAACGCCTTGGTGAGTTCAGCCAAACAGCTAAACACAATTCATGCTATTAAGCAGCAACTAATCTGACATGCTACACGCCAGCTCCATGAAGCCAGTCACTTCCAGCTCAGTCGCACGACTTGACCATCAGTCAGTTCAACTTCGTAAAACTTGTTGACTGGAGATGTGGTGCGTAAGCCGTTTTAGAGAACTGTCCAACTCCATTGATCCACTCTTCTGCCTGACAGGTCATAAAAATTTTGCAGCGCTGTTCGATAGTACTTAATGACATGGTTTTCGCTCGGGTGTGGGAAAAAATTCACTACGCTAGAAAGTTGCATTAAGAAGGTTGCGGTTTCTTCTGTGTGATAAGATAGGTGCATTGGGCACATTGGACGTTTGACCCCGTCAAAAAGGGTGTGATCTGATGAACTGAACACCGGCCCCCAATGGATAACCTTTTTCACAACCCCCCCCCTGCTTCCTTGCGGGTCAGTCTTTGAGTAACCGAAGGTTTCAGTTGTGAACTGCTTAAGAAAATTCACCTGCTTTCGCCTGGGCAACGTAGCAGTATCATGCTCTCGAGCAGATCATGGACGCCTTTCTTCCTATAAAGGTGATTGTACCGTGGTTTGTTTGGCACAGTCTGAACTCTTTCTTTCTCTCTCTCTCTCTCTCTCTCTCGTTCATCTCCCTCCATTTGTTATTGACTAACTGCTATGTGGCATGGATCTGTCCACTCTCGGGTTATGGTTAATAGTCTCCACACGGTAGAGCCGTATCTAGAACTTCTAAAGTCGGTTCTCACCCTAAGTATCCTGCATCTGAACAATTCATAAACCTGTCGCTATGATTCGATCATTGATCACTGAATTCAGGCGGTCTCTAAAGGAGGCGTTCAAATGTGTTACTGGAACTACACACCCGTTCAATCAGCGTGCACCGAATCGTGGAATGCCATAAATCTCCAAAGGTGTCTTCCGGCGTTTTATTTTCCGGTGACCCTTAGTCTGGTCGCAAAATCCATTATCCACCCAAATCTCATCTGCGAAAATCTCCTAAACCCTGTCGTTCGGAGCTTTTCGTACACCAGTTCTGTCATCATAACCTCCGATTTGAAACGACTGGTCACCGACTGATGGAAACGCAAGCCGTATTGCACGGCTTATGTTCTGATTTCGAGGCTCACGAACATACTGGATATCTACATCAGTCTATTCTTGACTCGTTATCCAAACTTGCATGCTTTTTAGCTGTTCGAAGATGCGTACACTGAAAATTGTCATCACTGAAGATTCTCAATGGAGTGACCAAAATTAGGATTTTGGCTTAAATACTGACTAATTGGTGGCTGGCTTTTGTAATATTGGCAAAAATCGATAGCTGGATGAATTGGAAATGTGAGACAAGATGGAGTATAACGGTGCATACAATGAACAAGCGTGAGCACCTTGGATATACTTAAGTTTTGTGCGGGAACAACTGCATATTTTTCCATCAAGCTTTAGCCAAAACCCGTATCTTTTACGTACAAGTTTCAGTCAGACCGTTGAGGCGGGTCGAATCAAAAGGTATTGGAATATTCTGAGGTCAAACAGTATTGAAAAAAAAATTATTTTCTACAAATGTTGATGTTGCAAAGCTTGGTTAAGAAATGAATTGTGGCGGTCGCTTGTTGATTGGAGAAGCTTTAAACGATATGCCCGTATCGTCAAACCATTTGACACATCTCGTATGGCTTGTGTGTTTCCGTATAACATGCAATACTCATGTGAGATGGAGCGCTTGATAATCATTCAACGTCTTTAGCACTGACTCTTTCCATGTGAAAAAAAGATTTTTTCATTTACTGTATCCCTTGGTTATTTAACCTTTACTCATCGTTGAACTACCGTTATTGATGATGTTCAGGTCTCTGTTCCTATATAAGTGTAAATAATTACATATATGTATTCCATGTATCCGATTCCAGACTGTGCCAAGCAAATCTTGGTTGTAAGAAGGTCCATGATTAGCTAGTGCTCGGAATTCCTCCAGATAGCCCAAGGTAAAGCAGGAGAATCTACTGGGGACTTTACAACCGGCACCTTCTTCTAGCTAGTGACAGACCCGTGATGCACTGGGACGGTTCAGTCCTTTGGGAACAAGTGTCCAATTAATCGGGTCATACTTATTTTGCACAGGGTCAACGAGCTTGTTGTATAATACATCTCATAGTTCAACCAAACCGATGACCACCGTCAGAACGCAAGTGTTGCTATGATTCGTTCGCCTCTTCTTGGTTGGTTTCTGTCCAACTCCCGGATGTTGTCAGGATCAGGTAAAAAAATTGCACGGGGAAATTTTCGATGAAGAGCATCGTTACTTCTCGTGCTCATTGCCTAGCGGCGGCCAAGGCTAACATCATTGGTAATGGCTGAATGCTGTGTGCAAAGACCGACTAATCACAGAAAGCGCTGCAGAAACGATTGATGTTGGTTTGGATGTCGCCGAGGGTATTTGTATCATCGACGTGAAACTTTTGCAGCTAAACAACACATTGGGGTCACAGTGAGTGCACATCTCCAGCGTATTCATGTTTAATATCATAGTCGATCGTGTGTAAGTAAGTAGTTTTTGAAGGAACTAATATCAGCAATCTTACGCAAGTGCAATCAGCCTGTGCTGTCGTCAAAATTGACTTCCTCCCGTTCGTGTTAAATGCCACTTTGAAATCAAAGAATTTAAGTTTGGCCCGACTTTCGATCGACAAATAGATGTTTTGAGAACAGTTGTCCGCTTGCACTGAGTTTTCTTCACACTTATCGTTTGGGTTGCCAGAATGTAACTAAAAAAACGCACACCACATCACGTTCGTGAAAGCAGTAGATTGAGTTGAGTGTTAAGAGATAACTGATCGATTTGAGGACTGAAAGTTAATGGTAGAAAAAAATATGTAACTGCTGGAGTCCTTTCCGCACTTGACTTTTTTTATTGGAGGCCGTTTGAGCGAATCTATGGTGGATGCGATGGTTAGGTTGGGTAATTATCAGGCTTCATGGGTTGATGTTGAGCATATCTTTGAATACAATTCTGTCGGTTTTTGCGTCTAAGGTTTGAAAAAAAACAAGAAGTGGTCTTAACATGCAAGAACTGACATGAAGGAATGAAACCGTTGAATTGTAGACCGTCTTGTTGGGCTGTTCCTTCTTGCTCCCCAAATATTGCGTGTGTTGAACTTCCTTTTATAATGTGCATACTATGTGGCTTCGTCAATACTGGCGGTACGATTTGGTCACGAAAAATAGAAAATTGTTTTCTCTATCCTGCAAAGTTCTTGTTTCACGGCTCCTTGCAGTTGTTTTGATGCAAACAACAAGGGCCGTAACGTCACTCTGTAACTTCTGTGATGCACTCCGATCTTGCTGTGCAACCACCCAGGTCAGAATCGTCCATTGTGTGATTTCATAAAGTACAAGTTAGTACCGATATGTTATTTTCTTCCTAACAGGCTCATCAATGCAACGTTTTTCTTCCCATGCACGTCAGTAAAATAATTGACATTACAGGCTTACCGCTTGGCACCTTTTGCACAATCATTTGTTTGTAATATTAGTTGTAATTTGTTAGAATATATCTTTTTATGCTAGTCTTTATTCGATTATGTTCTTCCTATTCGTCAAATGATTTTCACTTATGTTGTCCGGAATTCTGTTCTTTTTTGTTTGTGAAGCTCAATTCCGTCCAAACTCCCGACGGTTGTTACATTCAATCAAGACCAATGTCCTCATCCGGTTCTCGTGATCCTTCACTATCCACCGGAATTCCCATGAATGGACCAGTCTGTTCAGTCGGTGGTAACAGTGATTCCGTTCTCTCTTCGTCCGCGTTCCCAATGGCTCCAAACCAGATCAATGTGACCTCAACCGGTATCCCATATCCTCCCGGCCAACAAGTTAGTGACTATTCGGTTCCCGTCAGGCTAACTACTCTCCATTGGTTACTCTGATATCGCAATCGTAGCCAGCTAACGTAGTCACTTGCAGTAAAATCTTGATATAACCTTGTGTGAAATGGGCCTCGTAAATTTGCGATTTTATGGCTTAACAAAATATTTAATTACCTGATCCTTATGATTTAGTCTGGTCGTCCGTTTTGTCCATTTTACCACACTTGTGTTTGGTTTGAACTTTTCTGTCTCTCTAACGATTTCTACCAATTGACATAATGTAAGCTGCATTCATAGTCAATCTATTTACTGATAAAGAGGATAATAATAACAGTAGTTGTACAACAGGAGACTGTTTAAGATGCTTAACTCCGTGCGTATAAAGGATTGACGGCATTGGAGGCCTAGAGTCTTCGCAATTTAATTTGATGAATCAAATCAACGATACCGATGTAAACTGATAAGCACTTGTGATCTATGTCGAGAACCGCTGCATCCAGTTTCGATTATTCGTAGAAGTACTCCTGCCGTCCGATAGGACTATCACTTCAGACGAAGACTGCTTATTCGTTGTGCATGCGTGTACACTTCGAGGTTCGCTAAACAGACTCTGTAGTTGTCACCGGGGACTTTAACGTTCAATTGAGGTCCTTGAACAAATCAGCACGATGCATGAGTGGTCCGCATGCAATCACGTCCAACCGTATGAACAAGGAAGGAAACTTACTTAAACTGCGCAGACCTTGAGATGTTCCTATTAAGCACCAACTTCACGCACTAGAAGCTGCCTCATCTTACTTGGAACTATGCTCACTCTTCTCAACGAGAGATTTAGGTCCATCACTTTACCATTGAATACCTCTGGCTAGGATGTTTTCAGGATTTTTTCTGCTACTTGTCTTCGTCTGTGAACATGGATCATTTTCTGGTACGAGCCGGATTCTGCCTACGCGCCGATAAGTGATTGGAACAATACTGCCGACAACAGACACCAATAGTACAATGTGAGCAACAGCCACCAAGTTTTTTTAAGCGGAGTTTTCCCGTTGTCATTCAGTTTAACTTCCGAAGGATTCCATGAATACTGGTAGCTGATCTAACAAACAAGCAGTGAAATAACTTTCAAAACAACGCTGGATACCAAAACACAACCGAAGCAAAAGTGATAGATTTGGTTGATCACTGCTACTCCGTGGGAAGCTCGCATAATCATTTGTCCGGATGCCAAATATGACAATACGTGTAAATCCTCTAAACTTCAGTTCACTAAGATTCTGAGAAATGACCGCGAGTAATTGTAGGTGACAAAACGAATGGAGATCAAGAGAACTGTGACCACTAAAAATACTTACATCCTTTTTTCCTATAACTAGGAACACGAGAACATGAAAACTAGACCTAGATGAGTTCGTCAAGGATTTAGATGATATATTGATTTACTATGGGCAGAACATTATCAGGCACAGCACAGCACAGTTGCATTCATCGTAATTTGAGCAATCAATTTTTCTCTAATTAGACTACTTCTATTAGTCGATATCATCTCCCTTCCCCTTGAGGAAGCGGAGATCTCGTGGAAAATAAGTTACCTCAAAGGGTACGAGGCCTCTGAACCTCCATCCACCTTTAGGATGGGGGCTCAACAAAAGTCTTGAAGTTGACGAAATTATGGGGATCAGGAAGGCGACCGAGGCGGATCCAGTGTTTCGGTTTCAGAATCATCAAGACGGTCGATCGGTGTCTGAGCACTTCTTTCCCCGCCCGATTGCTCAAGTCTAATGAGGTAATGGGACATATAATCCTGAGGTTAGAGCAGAAATTAAAATAATTAGGATCGCACACTGTAGCAAATGCTTGATCTCTATAGATTATGGTGACTGGGACTTGTGTCACGCATATCGTGCGACAGGCTGCGCTTATAACGAGACCAGATGTGGTCAAAATATGATTTGGTGGGGGTATATGGGTGGCATCAAACGAGGTGAAGGATCTTGCGGCTAACCCAGCGTATGGTTAAAATCGCCAAATGGTATGGCTGTATATCGTGAACTCTGTCACTTGTGCACATCCACCCACTTCCTACTTAAATCGAGTTGGCTTGCGTTTTGTATCTTTGTTTTTAAATTGTTTGATTTTAATTAGGCGTGGTGGATAGCGTTGATAATTTTTCCAATGTTTTTATTAGAACCGGTGTGAAATAAGTCCTACTTACCCTAAAACCAAGCTTTTTCTAGACTTTGTTGATCTTAACTCAGAAATCCAGAACCAGCTAGTTGGGTTTCATCCCTTATGAGGTTGTGCCACCATAACATTGTTCGTAAATTTCGATCGCATACCAATACATAAAGCATCCGTTTTTCGATGGCGACCTCGAATACTTTTCCACGTTGATATGGCCTTTTATTTGATTCGTGTTCTTTGAAATCGCTCATTCGTAGGATACTGTTCGACCGACTAAGTCTGCAAAGAATGTGTTTAAGTGCAACGTGTTTCGTCTTGTCCGAGATTCGTTTTTGGCGTACCAATAAATGTATTTGGCTGAAATTATTTCATTTTGACTGTTGGTACCACGGCCCCCGTTTGCTCCTCCCATATTGCATTGTCATTTCGTTCTGTAATTTTGCGATTATACTTCACCAAATGGTCATTATTTATTTCCTCCGGAGCAGCTTTATTTCACACGTGTTCGAGGTAGTAGTTTCTTTAAGTCGTTTTGTCCATCATTCATATTCAGCAAGATTTGTATCCACTGGCGAATTGATTCCTTGTGGGAAAATGTTGTCGATCCAAACGAAGATTCCGTTTTTCGAATATTTTTTATTCTGCCATTTCTTCCCGCGTTCCCGCTTATCTCTGGTACTCCTTCCAGAATAATTTACCCTTCATTTTAGAGGTAAATATGTTTGAACTCGTGCGTTTATCCCATATTTGGTTTTGTCGCTTACGTTTTCACATTCAACTCAGTTACTCGTGAGTAGTGTTGTGTGGGCAAAAGGATACTGATTTGAACTGATCTGTTTTAAACTTCACACAAATCTCGGTTCATGCAGTCAGTCTCACTCGAGAAGCAGCACACACTAGTTTCATTCTCGTGAGAGCTCGTCAGTTGGACATATCCAACGATCCACTCGTGAGTTCAACTCCGGAACCCTCTCATAGTTGTGTTAGCACCGTGCCAAACAGTTCACTGGGTTGTTGGCCAGAATTGCCGGTTCAAGTTTGTTCTGGTGCATTCAATGGCAGTCAGGTAGTTTATTTCGCCCAATAGCATGCTTCTTACCATATCACTTCTTCTATGTAGCTTAGAGCAAGTATACCCAAACAAATCTGCTTCCGTTTTCTTCCTAATGACTTAGACAGTACGTAGCAACACATGTTCCCCTTTGTTACATAATTCGCGGTTCTTGCCGGTCTTCAGGCATGCGTATCCGGTACCCAGTACCCAGGAAGTGTATTTTCGTCACAGTAACCTTGTTTGCGGCACTGGTTAATTTTTTTGAAAATGAGTTTATTGTGACGAAACTATATTTCCTGGTTACAAGTATATGAATGAACTGAAAGATTTTCGGGTACTCATGCCTGACGAGCGGTAAGAACCGCGAAACCGTTCGTGTGCTTTCAAGGAACTTTTGTTGAGTCATTCATGCACTGCTTATTATGAAATATGTATGTCTCCTTGTATAGTTCCCTATATTTTTATCACAACAAAACTTCTCGTATTTCGAACACATCCCTCTCCGTGCTTGTGAGTGCTTCGTTCGGTCGTCATCTTCACTACGTTTAGTTTATGATGGCCATTAGAGTGAATTGGGATCTCCGTTGTCAACTATTTAATTTAACCTCATGTTTGTCTGATATCTGTTATACTGTTTACGGATGTTTATTTTCAACATTACAGTCTCCGGTTGGTGTTGTTTTTGCTCTATCAATGTGGCCCGTATATTTGATTCCTATTACGTAGTACACAATCCCAGTTGCATTGGTTAAATTAATACAGTTCTTTGTATGGATTTGTTATTTGATTGCTTTTATTTCCGAACATCTCCATGTGTCCTTAAGGCATGCTCATTTGCATACAAGTACATGCTCCTCATGTTGCCGAAATGTTCTGCGCGTCTGTCCACCGCTCCCCTTTTGTATGGGCTGGCTGCATGCACGCTATCTGACACGTGTCCACAACGAGGCTTTTTCTGGCGATTGATTGTTTTGATTTCACTGAAGCTATTTAGATACCTATCGACCACAAAATTTCGATATGCCATTTTCAACCATGTAATGATCCCCAGACCCACTGTTTTGACTGGCTGAACCTTAGTTGAATATCTGGATGCGCGTTGTGTGTACGTGCAATAGTTTTTCTGAAGAGATCGGGACCGTGCAGTTACCATTTCTGTTTTAATAAAGAATCTAATGTATGCTGTGTTGTCCTATCTGGTGTGGAACTGTAAAGGTAATTATAACTGCTGTGGACGTAAAACCTGCATTTCAGGAATGCTCTCCTCGCGAAGATACTGCACCTTAACGTGGTGCACTTCTATTGATCAACGAGCCACGCATGCTTTAGCTCCACAGCGCAACTGGGTAAATGATTAGACGTGCACTGCATTCGGAACCGAACGTCGTTTGTCGATCCGAGCCTGAAGCCCGCTTTTGACTCTGGGTCTCTCATGAATAAGTATTCCTAATGAAGGTTAAGCTACAAACCCCAACTTCCTACAACCGAAACAAGGCTTCTGTCACGCCAACTCATGATGAACCTAAAGAAGGACAGTAAAATGGCCTTCTTGTAGCTCTATTTAAAGTTGGTAGAATGAAGCTTGTTAGAGAACTTCAAGTTCTGTTCCGTGAAGTTTGGCACACTGAGCAGGCCCTCTCCTCGTAGGACAAGAGGGGGGATCGACCGTTTTTGCCATCTTTTAAAAAGGGCACGTGCAGTGTTCGCGCTAACTATGAGGCGATAGGCCTTACCCCAGTAACGTCAAAGCTGTTATTATCTGCCATTCTTCGCAGATTTTACAATGTGCGTGAGAATCACACTAGTTTCACGACGGTCGTGGATGCATCGTTTAAATCTTGACCGTCCAACAGTTTTTAGAACACCATCACGCTTTTCAAAGACCAACGATCATTATGTTCTCAGACGTTCGCGCGACTCTTGACTCCAATACAAACTTGTACTCGGGCCATGAACAGAGTGTATACACCCGGAACTGACGAACTTTTCCATTCTTTTCAAAGTGGGAGGTGACTAGTCCGTTGGTGCTGTTGGTGTTTTTTCCATCACAGCAGGTCAGATGAGCATACTGCTTTATCCTGGAGCTAATTACTGATCCTTCCTGCTTTTAAAAAAGAGAATTCAGAATGACTGATACATACATCACCAGAATGTCCAGTAACCGTCTACGGTGAGCTTTGCAATCCCTTGGAAACCAGTGGTAGTGGTCGTCAGAGGTGTTCCATTTCGCCATTAGTATTTGATTTTGTCGTAGACAAAATGTTGGAGCACAGTCCAAGTGGTTTTCCGAATATGAGTATTGAATGAGCAACTGGAGAAAATCTGTTCTGATTTGAAATACACTGATGACATCAGCTATGGTTTCCTAATCAGTGACCTGAAGGTTCTGAGTTCAAATCCCGCCGCCGCCTTAAATCTTCCTTATCTCTAAGTTTTTTCTCTGGCTGCCCTTCCCCTCCGGAAAAAAATGGTATTGCATTTGTTTATTCAATAATAATGATATTTTAATGTCTGTCTGTTCGATTATACGGAAGACATGCTCATCACATCTGACAAGCTAGTAATCTCCCTTGCTCCTTTCTGCATGCTATTTGCAAAGTGATACTGCAAGTCTGGAACATCCCTGTGTTAAACCTAGGTGGTCACCCATCGGCTGCAGTTAGTTACTTTTCCTACCTAGGCAGGTTATGTAATCAATAATGACAGTGCAGTCGAAGGTGTGATTGCACGCATTTCTGAGGTTCGAGCTGCGTACACAGTACTAAAGCACATGTGGCGATGACGTGACGTTTCACTGAAGTTGAGAAATCGCGTAAATTGTGGCACTGTGCGATCAGTTCTGCCTTACTGTTGTGAGACCTTGAAGTTACGCTTAGATGACATCCATCGATTAGAGCTTTCCAATACTGTGTGCTTGAGTAGAGTGAAACGAATGTGTTGGTGACAACGAAGTCAGTCTTTCTGTTTTAGGGAATGTTTCGATGGAGAGTTCGTTTTCTCACCGAATTCGAGTGAGTAAGCGTCTCTTGTTGCGCGTGCCAAATACAGGTCTAGCTCACAGGGCTTTGTTCGCAGTTTCTGCTCTGGGTTGGAGAGCATCACGTGGAGAGCAACAGAAGGTGCGCAGACGATGCATAAGGAAATTCACAGCTACATTCAATGAAGTGTTTGTGTTTTCCGTCTTCCGGGCTGGACTTGGTTTCAATCAATGAAGGACAGCAGCGAATCGACAACAGCGGCATTTTTGCCGCTTGTGTGTAAACAAGTGATCGGTGTGCTCTCTGTTGATCCTAGAGACTCACATAATCCTCCTCTTTCAACATGGATCCGTGTGCTATCTTTCAAATGCATACGTGTTTTGTGTCTATAGCTGGGAAATGATCAGCAAACTTCGGATCATTGTCTCTTTTCATTGGAAGACCCCAGTGACTAATCGTAGTTCAAAACATACTTGTCAAGTAATTTTCCATTTCACTCCTTCCAGTCCTTCCGTTTCCTTTCAAATATGTCACTGGTGATCTATTCCTTGAACTTGTTTTGTCTTCAGATGTCCGTCATTCCCAACGAATTTGACTCCATGGGTGCCACCAACTCCCCACTCATGCTGATGACGATTCCTGCCTCCTCGCCAATTCCTGGCCAGAGCGGAAACTCGGCAATGATGAACGGACCCGTTTCCATGAACATGGCCGTGGGTGGTGGAGCACCAGCCCCACCTCCCTATCACCATCATCACCATCACCACCCTCAACAACAACAGCAGCAACAGCAAGCACCACCCGGATCAATTATCAATTGTCGTTCCACGATGAGCGGTGGGATGCCACCAAGTGCCTCGTTTTTTGGGTCTCCAACTGCAGTGACCGCCACAATGACTTGTGGCACCACTACAACGTCGGCAGGTGTCATGCACGGCGTCCAGCTCATGCCTACCATGTCGGAAGCTCTGCCGGGTCAAGTTCAATCTGGTCAAATGGATCGGCATTTCATCGGTATGTCGGGTGACGGAAATGTCACACCGACTGCAATGGGGATGACCATAACCACCAGCTCCGTGTCTGCCACTGCTCCGGTTTCCGCACCGGGCGTCAACGCGCCTACGGCTACACTTACCACCGGGAAGGCTCATCCTGTTGGTGGAGCCGCCAAAGCAGCTGCCAGACCGAAGCGAACAAGAACCAAAGTAAGTCAACGTAACGAGGCACAAATTTCCTTGGATCACTTGACCGATGTGGGTCGCATAAATTCCTTTGAGTTGGGGCTTAATTGCCATTTAACTTAAGTCGCTTGTGGGAAATCTACATTTCGTAAACTAAATAAAATGGAGGTAAACTATGATATGAATTCCGAAAAGTTGGTAAACTGACAGTCTTTAGATTATATCGCAGGTCCATCAGCTTATGTCTGGTGCGTTGGTATTTACCTGTGAAGGCAGTCTGGGATGGGTTGTAGAAGACTGTTTTATGCGTTGACAGCCAAACCCTCCATTCACTGCGCTTCTGAGGTGCTACGGTCATACTTCTCACTTTCACATCGATTGCTTGTCGGCTCTTATGTTTCACTCACTGTTGCTGATGCTTATTTGTAAGCGTATGCACAAACCAATTCACGTACGCACTTGTCCAAAAGCGGTTTCATCGTGACGGCCTGTTTGCCGGATTGACTGACTGACCGGCCGATCGGTTGGTTGGCTGACTGACTGACGGACTTACTGATCGACTGACTGACCGATATATAGTTGGGTAATCGCAGCAGCCTCGAGGTACTGCCCCAATGACGCGCGAGCACATAGCCATGCGACATAATTATCTGACAAAACGCTTCGATTATTTTTGATTCGCGCTCGTGTGCACTCTCTCTCTCTTCACAACCAACCCATGATCATGCGTGTGCGTGTGTGTATCCACTGGGGACGCAGTTTGCGAATCGGTCTACGCGATCTACCGCGCGATTCGTATCGTGTGTTTGTGTGTTCTTGAGAGAGAGAAAGAGATGCATGCATACTTGTGGTGGTGTTCTGGCGAGGTTTGATTTTTGGTTAGCGAGCATGTTAGTTACAAAGTGAACACACAAGTGTTCACACTCAGATAATACTGATCGATGTGAACACCCACACCATTGCACACATGCGGCTGTCTTCGCTTGCAATTGCCATGCCCAGGGTCGTCTTCTAGACACCTTCGTCCTCTTTATTACCACATGCGATTGTGTACGCATCCGGATACGATGCTTGCATGCATACATGCAACATTCGTGGGCGAAGTAGGGCGGAGAATTGTGATGTGCTTCGTTTTCGGACGCGGAATGAAGTTTTTTCTTCCTAAAGTTGTGAGTGGACATCACTTTGATCCGGGTTATCTAATGACCATCATCCTTTGGATTTTTTGTTGCCGTCTACCTTACTGTGGTACAGTGAAACAACATACGTTCGAGCGATTCTCGTAGGCTACACAGACAATCATTGACTTACGACTGCATCTTTCCCAGCCAACCCGAGTTATCCATTCGTTCGTTCTATATTATCAACCTGTTGGTGTTGCATTGCTTCTGTGTAGTGTCACTTTGTACAGCGAGCACGATTTTCGGCGCTAAGTAACTGCTTCACTCTGAATCACAGTGACTGATTGTCCAATTGATGTGGTTCACATTGCACAATAGAAACGTGTTGCAAGACCAGGCTGCGCAAAATTTGCCAATTTCTTAAAATTTGAAATCCGAATGTCAGTTCCATTGTTTCATTATTATTCTTTTGTACTGTCGTCTTGGAGTTGTCAAAAATCCTGGGTTCAGTATGATTGAGCGAATGAGTTCCGGAAAAGCAGTACTAATTGTTTGTTCTGCCGACTTACAATAAAGGGAATAAACGCCCCTGATTTTGGCACCGCCTCAAAGCTTCATGATGGCATTATACTCCGTTGTTTGTTTGGAGCATGCTTGAGAATCGGGCTTTTCCTAGTCTAGTTCGAGGATGCATGAACCTTGTTTGCACCATTCACCAGACTCTTCAACACGGGTGTTCCTTAAACCCCAAGAGTCTGTTTTCCATCATCTGTAAGTGTTTTTCGACTCAGACGGCCGTGTGATAATTTTGCGGCGCCTCTTCTCGAAAGTTTTGCTTGAGAAGTTCATTTCTCTACTGCGACCTTTGCATAGGGCCATCCAAAGCCGCATTCTAGTTTACGATTGTTTTTCGCCCGAGTTCACCACTGGAAGTGGTGTTCGTCAGAATTACCTTATCTCTCCATTTCCTTTGAACCTTATAGTATATGTTACTCTGGAAACTATCCTGTCCTCGGGCGAGTGCTCCCATTTGACAAATTCCCACCTGGAGTAATCAGCAAACCAATTCGTGCAAACAAGCCTGTTTTCGTACTTTCATCTTCAAGTATTTGCAGTTTTACTATTATTATTAATTATTAAACGCTATTTTGTGGTGATCGTCTCATCGTAACTGATAAACTAAACTGAATGACTTACAGTGGTGAACCAGATGACGCCCCATTAATATAGGGGTGCATTGAGCCAGGTCTCAGCGAAGCTGTCTACCACCAAAAAGGTTAGGTACATGTTTATACACAAAATTCGTTGCAATGTCGATTAGACAGTAAATTGAAATCCGGTTGCGCAAAGTTATTCGTAAAATAATAGGAGTACTTAAATGACAAAGCCAACGCACAAATGCGCGTATTTAATGGTTGTAGAACTTAAACCCGAACTCAGATGACGTTGTATTGTTGAGCAAATATCCGGGTGAATTAAATGCTTCTCCGGTTGGTTTAAATTCTATTGTAGCAATGCTCGACATACTTTTCGCAACCATGACGTGCAAAATGTTTTTACAGGCTTTAGAAGATCAAGCTCTCACCTTCATTCTCACAAGGAAAGCGATAAAGCAGAAAACTATTGCTCAATGGGCAGTTACATCTCTTCTAACACATGCATCACGGATAAGTTGTTGGTGCTAACATAAAAGACTCAAGTAGTGCTTCCAAACTGGAGACACAGTTGACGTCACTGCAATATTCGGTTGTTCTTGACGGGTCCAGCGTATGTGGCAGCAGAATGATAACGATAGATAATTGATGTTTGAACACTGCTTTCGACATCGCATTACCCGAGTTTAGTGGGGTAGCTGAACAATGATTGGCGAGATTAGAGGCGGATTTTTAGATCATTGCAGTCGCACCTGAGCAAGTGCTTCATCGCTATAGATTGCGTTTGCTCGAGCATGTGTTACGTTTGTCGATGATAGTAGTGGTTGGAAGAAGGCTAGATGTGGCTAAATTACAATTTGGCGTGCGGGCATGAAAACCCTAAACGGGGCACTCGGTGATTTCAGGCCTGATTGGGTACCGCGCGATTGAATCAATAGTTAGATGTGTTGTACAACTGTATGTTGTTCTGGTGGCACTCGTGTATTTCATTCTCCTTAATTTTTATTCATAATACTTTGTATCTTTGTCCTGGTATGGCTTCCAACTTTCCTATTCTTCCCTCTATCCCGTCATCCGAAAGCTAACAATCACAATCGATGCTTTTTTTTAAATTTCCATTTAGTGGAATTTCTGTTCTACATTTCTGAACCATACCTGCGTTAGATCACCTGGTTCCACAAATATTTGCAGAACTACGACCCATTTAACAGGGAACTTGAACCCAATGCCCCGTACGTAGTGTTTGTATCTGTCCACTCTGTCATTGTTGCTCGGTCGAAGCATAAATAATGCCTAACTGTGATACTCATTTGACTGAATGCGATGATTGGCTCTTGTTCATAAACCCCTAATTGTTCCTGTGTCTATGCGCGCACCCTGGTGGGCTTGTATTTGTAACTCCTCTTGCTCCTCTCGGTCTCAAGTGCATTTGATTTTAGACTACATTTCGGTCAATTCAGGTCATTCATTTGCTATCACCCACATAAAACTGCACATGCAGCGTTATTTTCCCAGACGGTCTGTCGCTCATACTCAAAACTTCCATTTGGATACGTGGTAGGCGTTTCACGTGCATGCATCGATGTGTCTGAATGAATGTGTGTTGGTTGGATGATGCAGATATGATAAAAAGCTTTTGGGAAAGATGTGAAAATTCAAATTAAGAGTTGTCCGTTAGTGGTTCATGGTGGGAAACAGAGAATTGAGGAGGAAGCAGGATAGGTTAGGTCAACTACTTCCGGTTTAAGTCAAAGGATCACGAGTAGGTGATTTGAGGTTGTGAATCGGGTTTGGACTACGGTGAGTATGCAGTTGGCTCCATTTAGTTCATTGCTATTGCTTCTGTTGTTGCAAAATGACATTATCGGAGTTCTTTTGATCGGTTCGCGAGCATCTTGTAAACGTTGTTGAATGCAGGTTCATTAACCTATTGTCCCGTATCCACTAGGATATATATATATATATATATATATATATATAGTATTTATATGGNGTTCTGATCGCTAGATTAATGATTCGAGATGAACGATTCATTCGATCCCGTGTTCACACTGGTCATTGTCAACAGTCAGTGGTGAAACGCGAGAACTTGACCAATTTATACACCGCGGGCTGCTGTAAAGTCCTAGAAACGGAATTTTTTAGTCGTTCAATGCGATCCGTGTGCTAGGGACGGTGTTTAAGTTTGAGTTCATGTTCATAGCTACCCGACGATCACCGATTTGAATTCCACTGCCATCCGTCGTTCTTGCTTGTGCACTTCTTGTATCAGCCTTTAGCATAGCCTAAGCTCTTTTCCCGAAATTTACCATGCCATCTTATTCGGGGGCTGTGCAAGAGGTTTCTGGATACACGTACGAGGGCAAGGAAACCGTGAGCTATAATCTGTTGTGATTGCAACTCAAAACCAAATATTAACAACCGAGCATAGCTCACAAGTCATAAGGGTCGCTATACTCGGACTGCAAGGATGGAACTCGGTCATTGTTACTGGAGGGCGGTGATTTTCCATGACTATGAATGTGGTTTAAAGCAGCAGCATAGTGTTGATCGTTTGTGAGCTGCTTTTGGTGATGACATGCCTTCAAGAAGCACTGTATTTGAGTGGTTTGCGGAATTCAAGCGTGGTAGGCGGTCCATGGGTGATTATTCTCGGTGTGGTCGACCCGTGGAGGCCACCACAGCGGACAACATTGCAGCTGTGGAAGCGATGGTGGAAGAGGATGCGCGGGTGACAGTGGCTTAGCCGGCGAAAGCCATCGGGATCAATCCGTATCATCCTACACGAGAAGCTCAGCCACAGAAAGGTTTGTACACGCTGGGTACCCCATCAGCTCATTGAGGAACAGAAAGTAGTACGAATAAATTGGTTCCGCACCATGCCTGGCAGGCGTCAAAATGCAGTTTGAGAAATCATCAGTGCCGACCCAGAGACCAGACAACAGTCGGCCTCAGAAATCTCAGCGCGGGCGCAGTGTGGCAACGCCGTTGTGTTCATCGCCAAAACTGGTCATGTGGCTACTGTGCCGCTCGTAAAGGAAAGCACAGGCACCGAAGACTGCTACGTCACCCACTGTCCGCCGAAAGTGCCGGAAGCAGTTGCCAGGCTTTGTCCAAGGACTGGAGCATGAGAGACTTCGCTGCACCATGACAACGCATCTGCACACAGTTCCCATACCCTCGGAAATCTTCTGGCCAGAAAACGCATACAATAAGTTTTTCACCCACCCACCAGTCCAGATCTGGCTCCGTGTGACATTTCAGTGTTGCCAAATGTGAAGTGCATGGTGCGTGGAATCCGATACGAGTCTTCAACAGCTGCAGTGGAGGCCTTCATGGAATTGATTGAAAGGGTTACCCGCCTCGGCATGGTCGAGCTGTTTCACCAAGTGATTTGAGCACTGTGCATGAGCGCTCTTCAAGAATACTTTGAGAAAATATGATGATTATTTTCGTGTAACAAATTAAACTTTTTATACATTGGGAAACGTTTTGCTCAGCCGTCGTATTTAGTAGATCAAAAACGAAGTGAAAATGTATGACTTCTAATCACAATATTGCCACCGCTTTATTTGCGGTATTGTAGTGAACTTAAACAACGCAGGATATTTTTAATAGCCGGTACCGGTACCTAAGGTGAAATACGAAAGCTAGCATGCACGTGGACGTAATAATAAAACATACCAAGGGTTGTAAAGTTTCATATAGTTCCGATGGACATCAGTGTAGTACGGGAGTGTAAGGTAGTATAAGGTTAAAAAAATCACATATGATGAGGTTGATAACATGAGTCTGCGAAGCAAGGTCAACCGTTTTTTAATAATGAAAACATTCCATGCTCAGATTCCACGAATGAGTTGACTGGAACCTTACGGATATTTACAGAAATAGTCCTCAATAAGACACAACACAACTTCCGCTCAATTCTGCAAATACGTGGGTCGATTGATACCAGAAACTAGCAATGTGTGAAATTTTGAACAAAGTGTAATCCGGTTTCTGTGAATCCCAGTCTTGAAAGGACAGGCCTGGACGAAACGAAGCCCATTTATTTTACCTTACTCCTGCTTGCATGCATGTACAGTGTTCTGTCAACGAATCCATTAACTTAATTCTAACTAAAAAGTGGTAGTTAATCGTTGGAAGTCAAATCAACATTCCTTGACTCTGTGGTCGATGTACCCCTTCTCAGAACAACACTCATCTTGACAGGCTTTGGTGCACGGGAAACGTTCGGGGGATGAGAGAAGGTCAAACAGTTCAGAAATGGCATGATGACGCTAACATGGACTATGCATAGCGCGCCTTAACCTTTTCGTGAAACAGCTGTGGGACGAGTTTTGTTCAGTTGGATTATCCTCATTTTTAATTGCTGATCACTGATGAAATAAACTAGGACAGGATTCAAAACGGTTTGAGCATCTCTTAGCCTCTATACATACGAGCTGTCTAAAAGGCGGTCATGCCACTGTCAACGATACTTCACTCATCAGAGGAGACATGAGTATAGTATACCAAATAATGCAAAATCCAAGCCATCAGTGTCGCCCATCGCTAAAATTACCACTCAACATTCATCTCAGAGGACATTCGTTAAAACTAGTGGTTTCCAAATGCCGATTGGAATGCCGGCATCAGTCATTCGCAGTCAGTGTGTACGGTCTGGAATTCTCTCCCACCCCACGTCGTCTGTGCACCAAGCGTTGAATCTTTCAGATTAAGACATGATGAAGCATTAGTACGTCTTACATTCCAACATAAGTGAAGCTGCGTGCAGCAGTAGAAGAAGCCCGTGTCATGACATTTTTACGCGTCGCATTGTGTGAAACACTGACGAAGATAACATGAGCTTGTAAATTCTTCCCATAATGAACCTTTGACTTACACTTTCTCTTCACACGATCAGTCACTCTCTTCGATCCTACTTCGACTACCAGATCCTCTGAATGCTACACTTTTCGACTATTGTTGTTTTCCGATCCTCAAAGTTCACTGTGGATTTGTCGCTTTTACCCCCTTCGGAGTCTAGTCGGTCTTGGCTAAGATTCTGGAAGCCTATCCTCTACTATTCAGTCGCCTTTGATTGAGAAATTTATTCATTGTCCCACCGCGATGTGACGATACTACGCTGAAATTGGGCATTTCTTATGTGGTTTTTTGGAACTGAAAAAATCCACCTTCTTTTCACATCAAGCACTTTCGAATTGTGCGACACCAGGATAGCGGCAGTTGAATAAATCGATACAGAAAACCGTCCGGGGTTATTCAGGGCTCTGTTTATCTGTTGCCAACTTAAACTGATCGTACATGATACAAATGGTCAGCACTTAGGTAACTTTACCCGTATCCGTGACCAGGGGCCTTACTCTTATGCTTACCGGAAAAAGAGTAATAAGTAACGCGGTTTTCTTGTCACTAATTTTTGTCACATGAAATCTATGACACTCAGGCGCGAGTTTTAGATTGCTTAGCAATAGTCATTCGAATCGTTCTCTTTTTGTCTCGCCGTATCATTTATTTTGGTAGGACGTTTAAAATCGGACTACTTTGAGAGCCTGTCGCCATTGTCGAACGGTTGATCTGGCATCGGGTATGCTGGGAGTGTGTTTGGGTTGAATCGCTCCTCGTTATGGTCGGTTCTATGTCCACAGTCAATCATAATGCATCTTGAATTTCGTTTTTTGATTTTTTCGAACTATCCGTCTTTTGTATCGGAATTCGCACATATACACCAACGGGCTTCTACTAATTCGGCTACCCTTATTGATCGTCATTTCGGCTAATCAGGTTAAACCGTTGTCACACCCACTCAGTTGCGCTGGCACCGGATCTTTGTGCACACGGAAAATTGTTTCTCATTTGCAACTGAATTCGCTCGCGTTGAAATGATTCTCGTAGTAGTTTCATGCAAGCAAAGTACATATATGACCTAGTTACTGTCAGTGCCATCAAAGAGGAAATGGAACCAAATGGAGCGGGATTACTGCAACAAACGATTTGAACCTTATCGGAGCATGCACATCGTTGGTCGCATCATTATCATTACAGAAGTTACATCTTGCATCAGCCTCTGTATGACACAACGCTGGAATTAAAAGACCACCATATCGTTCTTCCAGGTGGTTTTTTGTAACCTGCACTGACCGAGCGACTGCCCAATTGCGTTATTCACTGTTAAACCATGGAGATCTTAATTAGCATCCGACCGGCTCAATCGGTTTTATGTTATCTATTTTTCCACTGGTATTGAATGGATATGTAGTTAAAACAAATGTCTTTGGTACACTAGCGTGCGCCGTGTTTAATCTGAATGACATTTGTATCCATCGTTCGTCAATTTTTCGAGCGGAGAAAGGATTCTCCCGGTTAACACTAAACTCACTGGATAGGCGGGGCATTTTCCACCCGGCCCTGGTGCGTTATCCACATGCCTGTTTGTATGTCGTTCGTTGATCCTAGTGCGCACATTGATGTGGTATGCCTGTGACTGGTGTGACCTGTCTATATTACGCTCACTCCGTCGCCATACGCTTACAACTGCCCTGGATGTGATTGGTCCGTTTGATCACGTGACTCGACAGATGATATGGTTGGGGTGAAATTTAATACACTTCACTCACTCTCAGCCTGTGGACGTTTGGTCTGGCGCTCGGTTGTCTGCTATCTGCGACTGAGTCAGCCAGCTTGCTGCGCTGCCCTCGCACATTGTCGGTTTCACACAGGTCTTCCCGTCGCCCCCAATTTCTCTCCGCACGGTTTGTTTTGTTGGCTTGTGTTGTATCCGAATGTGACATTTAAGTGCGTGTGTGCGTCCAGTTCGTCTTTGTCCGCCGACAGTATGTGTCCTATTCATGACCACCATGCCACCANGCCACCAACCCCGTCAGCAATGGCAGCAGCCGAAATGACCATGCACCGATTCGCGCTCCGTTCTGCCGTGTGCGCGTGGGCACTCCGGACTCTGCAACCGCCACAGTTGGGACTGTCTATCGAACCTTAGTCATCGCCAATATAGGTCCGCATACTGCGGTCATGCGCGCACACACGAAGATTCGTAAGGCCGACACCACAGGTGTGCGACCGGCTGTCCTATTGATGTGGCCCCACGATGCTTTGATGCCCGAGCTTCCGGAAAATAAAGAGAATGTTCTGAATGTTCTGTTATTACCCACGTTTGTTCCGATTTCGACACTTGGGTTTCATAGTGATATTTCCAATTTAGGTGTAGGTGAATTGGCAGATAATTGGACACTAATTGCTCGACTGTCTGACAAGCTATTTCGCAACCCGTTTCCAGCTACAGCAGTCCTGGACGCCTTAAGAGATTTTCATCACTACAGTAAAAACTGAAAGTGAATGACTGCACCCAGGAGGTTTTACTAATCGGTAATAAGATAAATGTCCCTCGTGTCAGAGACAATTTGTTTGAAAAATTCATAATGTCCGTTTGATTGTCAGTCAGCAAAATACATGATTATTAGCATTCTTCATTCAGGCGAATTTGCAGTGCTGCTCCCAAAACTGATTGAAACAGTTGACCAAGGGAAATCTCCCAGCATTTTTACCAACTTGTAGCTCTGCATGCTATTGTTAAGAAATTCCGGTAATTCGTGGCATTTGACCCGAACACAACAGAGTCAGGTCGAGTTAAGCTTTATCACCTAATATGAAGAATTCTCAGCGCTTTCAATAAGTTACAGTGAGGAAAACGTCAAGCATTGGAGATGGAAGATTTTACATTTACTAAATAAAAAATAAATGGATCTGATAAGATCCTGATGTGACAGATGATTTCCAAGTCAGTAATGCTATTTGCTAAGATACGAGCAAAAAAGGGATGAGGCTGTTATTGTGTTGGTGCGTGCACAGAGAATCCTAGATTTGGAACGCGTATTCCGATGAGACGCCGATTTATTGAGATGGACATGCAGGCAGTGTTCTCCATTTGGCAGCATATGACTGATAAATCTATCGCATGAATCAAAAATGCTTGCTCGCAATAAAATCTACCAAAAAGGTCTTTGAAATGCCACTGCAACAAGAAAGAAGTTTAATAGATCTGGAAAAGAGAACCAGGAGAAATACTGGAGAACAGTACAGCCAGTGTGGGAGATTGCAGGTGGTCATAAATTTAAGAATTACATTTAGGGGAACGCCAAAGTTTTTGGGCCTAAAAGTGCAGACGGATAACCTGCAAATCCTAGTGTAAGTGTTTTCAACATGTTTGTACCAAGAAAGATTATGCGACAAAGTAACTCTATAGTACTTATCAGCGTCAGCTTTGGAGATGATCTTACCAATAACAGCAAGTTCAGGCGGGTTACTAAAAAACGTTTGATAATGAGTGCCTGTTTTAAGGCGGAAAGAAACATTTCAAGACTTAACCACATTGAGCATTAAAGATCGAGGCGTAGACTAAGTAAATAAGTGGTTTGGACAACCTCGAAGTTTACGGAACAGTCAACATCAGTCGAGGGATAACCAACCACTACGTCATCGGCATAACTGCTCGCGATAAAGTTGAGAGAGATAGGAAGGTCGTTAATTTACACGAAAAAGGAAATGGAGACAAAATACCACCCTTGTAACCCCCAATGTCAAATTCCACCAAGGACGAAGATTTATCATTACAAGAAGTGGATTGCGTCCTATGTGAAAAGAAATTGATAAGCACATTTAAGAAATCAGGTGCCATACTGCAATCTTTAAGATGTTGAATGAGAATGCCGGTCAAGTGATCCGAAAGCATTGTCATAATCAAGAAAAATTAAACTTCATCCAATAAGGATGAAACGGAGTGAGCAACCGCATCCGGTTTGGAAATCGAAGGTTTGTAAGCAAATTGAATGGAGTTATGAGCAACAGATAAAGGGTCATCCGCTCAAGGAACACTCTTTCGAAAACTGTCAATGATGCTGATGTGCAAGCAATCGGTCGGTATTTGGAAGATCCTATTTTCGTGGATCGGTATTATCAACTCATTGTCCTACCGTACGGTTGTTGCTTGAAACAAAAAAAATCACCAAAAGATCATCCACACAAAGATTAACGAAGATTGCTGTTCTTCAAATGAAATGTGCACTGAATTCAACTGTAAGGTTATTCTACCAGCGCTCATTCACCTGAATGGGATGTCATTGTGCTCTCCCTCGTAAAACAGTTCATTGCTATTCTATCCCACGAATTCATTTACACCGATTGATGATTTACTCGGTTTCTGCTCTTGCTCATTCAAATTCGGGATGCAAACTAACTGCCCCGTACACATCGCATTGGTAACAGGTTCGGTACAAAGATTTTTTACAGTGCCAGACCCTTGTGTGCATATATCTCTACACGGGCACGCAAAAATCCTAGCGACACATGCGTTGTCATCAGACCTTGCCATAAGTAATCGGGTGGGTCGCACCTTATGTACTAATTTGACAATGAGTCTGTAAGGTTTATTCCGTCCTAGTTCACACTTAAACTACGGTTGTATACTTGTATGGGATTAATGATATTCATTTAATCGACTGCCTTCAGATTTGAACTTCACGCACAATCTTCATTCCATTCAGTGAAGCCATACGCTCCAATGTCACTGTTATTAGAGTTCGGCAGAAGTAACAGTCTTATTTAATCGTTTCATTTTTGTTGAGCTACGGTCTCGTATCTAAAATATGCGGCATGGCAATGGGGGAATATTTCGTGAAATATCATTGTGTTCGCATCGCTTCTTGTAAAGCGAATCAGCTGTCATGTTTTTACCTGTAAATGATGTGATAGTCCCCATATTTTTCCTAACTGCCAGCGTATCGTGAGCCTCGGTTGAGTTCCGGATTGCAGAGAAACAGTAATTTTAAACAATCTGATTTGTCTTTTTTTGTGAGCCGTTCACGTCAAACTAATATCTTTACTATCTTAATCCGTTTCTCGTCTCCCTCTAGAACGCCGCTGGAACGGGTCGCGCGAGTAAGGCGAACACAAAGAAAGCTACCGCTCAACCAAATGCAATTACCCCGTCATCTACTCCCGACCCTTACGCGTTGAACCACCGTCTGCAGCCCCCAAGCGCTTCATCCCTAGTCCGGCAAAAGCCACCAAATTGGAATATGAACCTATGTCCCACGAACACCTTTCCCTCAGGTGGGATGATGTCGCCAACCGGGGGAATGCCTGTAGGTGGGTGTGAAGTTCGTACCGGTTGTGGATCTCCCTTGTCCTTCTCATCTGTTTCGGGTGCAAACGGTCTTCTCATGCGACCCAACTCCAGGCCGAACGTATCTGTGGCTAACTATGGTGGAGGTAATACGAATAATTCAATGATGCCTGTTCCGTCCCCGAATGATCCGAATGCTCGATTGTCCGCATCCCCACGTCAACCGCCTTATGGTATGCAACCGGTACCAGGTAGTCAGTCACAGCAGCCGCAACCTCAGCAGCAGCAGCAACAACAACAACAGTACTTTCCTCCAGGGACTACAGGTCCTCCGGTATCATCTCCAAGCTTTTATGTGACTGGACCCGCTGCAAACAACTTCCTCACACATCAACAACCACCCATGCAGCAACGCACCCCGCCGGGGTCTACGATGTCCTACACAAATACTGTCCCAGCTGGACGCCCTCAACAGAATACTATGCACTTTCAGCAACATCCTATGCCCCAACCTACAGGATCCTATTCTACAGGACCCTTAGGGAGACCTGTATGCGGTCAACCCAGCGCAGGGTATCCCAATACTGCTCCGGTACCTGAAGGAACTCCTGCCACATTAGGTCGCTTAGCAAGCCCCGGACCCATTGCCATTCCCAGTTCAACTGGAGGTAAGTTAATTTTATCAATTGTCACCTCTAATCTCAATAGCACTGTCTGATTAATTTCCGTCCTAGGAAAGGAAGTGTCTCAACTGGAAGATATCCATTAACTAGTGGCAAGAATGTTTGAGGGTCGTCGGTGAACGCTCGATAAAACGAAAGTGTGCTCACTTGACATTTTCTCACTCGAAAGGGAAGGGGTTCCTACAACTTCCAGGGTAAAATGCAAACTTACAACCAATAAAACGTACGGTTTTTACTTTTCCCAGCTTTGCAATATTGCTGTCGGTGGTAGACAGCTTTGCCATCGCCCGATTCAGTACCATACTTGACCTAGCTAGGCCTCGTAGTTGGCCACTTCAAGTTCTAGGGCTTAAGATACCGGTTTCCATCATTATACAACCGGCCTTTACGACTATGGGGTTCACCCCATCTGTTGTTGAGCACAAATGTGTGTAATGAAAAAATGTTTTATGCAATGTCACGGTAAATCAATCGTTCAGGTTGATCAGATTTGGTATGACGATGATGATGGTGCAACTCGTAACCGTATAGAGAAACCAATCGGATTTTGACCATGACTTGGCAAAGCTGATACATCCCAGAAAATGTGCTTTTGGGCGAGCGAGATGCTGGTAACTCCATCCCAGGAAAATGATGAAAACGTTTACGTCGTTACACACACACAGTGTGGAATACTTTTCCTTGCTCGGTGCATAGATACATTGCCGTGTTCGAACATTTTGGTTCCCAAATCCATTTTTTCGCGACCCACATCGGCCTGACTCGAAGGATAATCGCGAGACTCAACGAAAGATCTCTAATCAAGATGCAAGACATCTTTTGTGTGCCACTTCAAATCAAGTAACAAGTTATAGCAATCATTGCATTTGGTTGAGTGAGCGGCTGCATCAAACTTATAATTCAGGGTGAGAGAACGCAACATTGAGGATTGAGTCGCATGAGTTAGAAGTTACACCAGCTGGATTAGCTAGAACGGTTTGATATTAGGCGACGAGTAGAAGTTCGAAAACGATGATCCCGACGGGTTCGTATATTCTCGGTGTGGTATGCTTGAGAGCGAGGTANGGTAACCTACAGCGGAACCTCTGTTATGGCCTGAGGTGCCATTTTTGGGAATGGAAAATCTCAGTTGGCCGTTCTTGAAGGAAACCAGATAGCTGAATCTTACTTCAAAGTCCTTTAACGCGTTGATTTTCCCGTGATTTGGGTAAATCGATTAGGAACCATATTGTTTCAACACGATAATGCCTCCACGCACATTTGATCCACTGCATTGGAAGGTGGTGCCTGTACCAGAGTATCAAGACCATGGACTAACCAGTCCACAGCCTAGGTTACAACCCCGTCGAAAATGGAGTCTATTGACGAGCGAATAAAGGTATTCTACTCTTTCCATGAATTAAAGACAGTTATCCTTCATGAGTGGAACAGTTTCGAAGTTCAGACAATCCGGAGCTCGACTGGAAGTGCACTTGAGCGTTTCAGTCATGAATAATAAAGTTTTGTATGTTTTGTAACCACGTGAATATTTTCATGATTTTCCTGAGATGGGGCTAACAGCATTTCGCACGCCCAAAATTAAATTTTCTGGGATGAATCGGTAACGAGTTGCATCATCATCATACCAAATTTGATCAACCTAGATGGTTTAGTCATCGTGACATTGTGGATCACATGATAGGTTAATAGTATTTCGTGCACTGTACTCCCTCATGCAGCATTTTTGTAGCCCATAACAGGGTTTGTAAACAAGTTGTGATGAAATAGATGCTCCGTTCACACACACATACATGCAGCACTTGACCCCACCAGTCTTTTGTTTTTTTCCTCTCCAGATCCTATGCTCTTCTTTCATAAAGGTGGCGTTTTACTTTCTTTGCCGAGTTCTGAATGCAAAGAGTTTGCTGATTTTGGGCGATAAAATAACTGATCAACGAACTTATTGTTCACGTGACCTTTTCATCGCAATACGTAAATCATGATTAACCTCATTTTGTCAATGCATCTTTCGGTAACAATATTTGAACCTCAGTCATTCTCATAACTTCTTTGTTATCTAATGTGAAAATGGCAACTAAACTGTGGTCCACTCTTTACAATGTAGCTATCGAGATTCGATTACTAGTGTACTCTGTAAAGTGAATGTGACTCACCTCAAATTCTGGATTCTATTGCCACATGCTATTGTTATGGTCATACAGAACGAATGTTCGGTATGGCTTCGTTTGTGATAATAATTCCTCCACGATCCCCGGCATTCGTTTATTGTTCGACTGCTGCCGGATGATGATTCTACTCGATAGTATGAGAATGTTACATGCAGTGAACACTGAAAAATCTATTTGGATGTGGCGGAGGTTAGGAGACGAAACACACAGTAATTTACTATCAACATATGGGCCAAGACTACTTGTTATCTCCTATTTTTTCTTGCTTTTATTGGATGTATAATGGTATAGTTTTCAGGAAGGGAGGAGCGGCGGCCATGCAACAGGAAATGAGGAAAGTCACGCGGTGGCGGTAGGATTCGAACATGTCCTCTGGAACCATAAGTGAAATGGAAGACGCCTTATTTTTTGTGTGGTTCGTTGCAGGTTGTGTAGTTTAATGTTGCTTTGCAACGTTGGTGCTGCAGTTTTCATCATCATCTTATTGTCGTTAGAGAACACCCCGAAACACCGTGACTTCCACCCTTAGCCGCCCATAGGACTGGCCCCTTGTTCCCAACTTGATTTGTCCAATCCTTAGGTTGTAACTTGATTGGTTCAGTTCACTCATGTGATATGTGCCCAATCAGAAAGTGGTGCAAACGAAATTGAACAAATTGTGGATCACAACCCGCTGGCCAACGGTTGGTTTGCTCACTTTGAATGTGTAGGGGGCAGAACTTGATTGTTTGCGGTCTATATGGAATCCATGTTAATAGTAGACGGTAGGGAAAAGGTTAAGACGGTGGAATAGCTTACTGTCCCGATACTTGATGATCACATAAGTTTATTCACCACCGTTAACAAGACAATTCTCGTTTGTCGGTGGTATAGTAGAATTTTCTAACACCATGGTCTCACACCTATGTGGGTTATTACATATGCCTATTCATGCTCGTACGTTATCTTCTCGAATTCGACTGGGCACTGACATCGATTCATTTATATTGTTGCCAATAGCATCAATCGATGGGTCATGTCCATTGGCTGTTCATGTTACCTTCATCTCGTCTTGCCGTACATGCGAC